AGATGCACGCCCCCGCGCGCGCGCGCACACACACACACACACACACACACACACACACACAGAGAGAGAGAGCGAGACCTTCTGCTCGTGTCCTACAGAGACGTCCGGAGCAGAGTGGGAATGTGGAAATGTCAGGAATACCGCAGATTCAGGGAATTACACGACGGATCAGGCCGAACAAACTGCCACCCCTGAACCTGAAGTCCAGCAGCTGCAGGGTTCAACCATGTGACTCTGTTTACTTTCTAAATATGGTCCTTGTGCAGGATTCATCAGTGCATGTTGTTTTGAAAGAAAAATAATCTTTCATCAACATATAATAACTTGATCTACCTCTGAAATGATGTTTCTGCTGACATAACAGAACCAGAAATGCACGAAAAGGCTATTATTCAGACTGAATGCACAATTTTAGAGCATCACAAGAATCAATTACATTTTAAAATATATTCAAATAGAAAAAAAAGGTTATTTTAAATTGCAATAATATTTCACAATATTACAGTTTATACTGTATTTTTGATCAAATAAATGTAGCCTTGGTAAGAGACTTTGTTTAGAAACGTTAATATATCAGTTACCAACCACAAAACTTTTGAACGATAGAGTATATGCTTGATTTATAATGCTAAATGTAAGACCTTTTATGGTAATAATTTAATTTACATGCACTTTATTATCATACATGTAATTTATCTTCAATAAACAGCATGAAATTCCATGAACCAAATCAAAATTCAATGTTAAAGCAGCATTATTTCCCTCTGCATATTCAGTTAAATATTTAACTTAGATTAAGTGTGTGCTGTGATTGGTTACCTGGGCCAGTGTGTGCTGTGATTGGCTCCACTCGGGCCTGGTCGGGAAATGTCACACCCCTTATGGCGTTATTTTAATGACAAATGTCGAGAGCGCATTATTGTAGCGCGAAAGCACATTAATACAATGAATTGTAAATCTCTCTGCTCGCGCGCGGATTTCCCTTGCTCTCGCACAAAACCGGACGCTCGCGCTCAGATACACGCTGCTCTCGCCCGGAGAGAGACACGTTTTAAGTGCGCGCACTCTCTCTGGGCGAGAGCAGCGTGCATAGGAGAGTGACGTTGATTTAGTTTTCACACAACTTTTCTGTGTTGGCTTTTGCTTGGATATGCTGCGGCCGGCAGGCATAGCAGATTCGCCACCAAAACAGGGGCGAGGACCTATTGGGGTATGGGCGTGTTTGCTTTGGTGCTTTCAAATATCAACATTGTTTGGCAAAAATCGCTTAGTGCGCCTTTAATTCTATAGAAAAGCAATAAAAGTTTTTCAGGAAGAGTGTTTTCAGCTTGTTTAATTTCATATAAAAATATGCCATCATGCAGTCGCTTCAAGCAATGGTATAAAGCTATTCAAAACACCAATTGTGATAATCATAATTAATAATCGCAATTACAATTTCAAGCGAGTAATCGACAATTATGATTTTTATCACAATCGTGCAGCCCTAACCCACGTATTTGTTTAGAGCTGAGCTGTTTTGGCTTGTAAACGGTGCTTGATCTGTGCAGATTTCTCTCCTGATTCAAACCAGATTACTTTTACACCGGAGGAAGAGTTATTATGGATTATGGATTATGGAAACACCGGTTTGAAGGTAAAACGCCTTAATGCTGGATTTGTTTCAGCTTTTGTCTTCTCCAGATGTGAACTGATGGACTGGAGTGGTGTGGATTACTTGTGGATTATTGTGATGTTTTTATCAGCTGTTTGGACTCTCATTCTGACGGCACCCATTCACTGCAGAGGAGCTATTGCTGAGACACTCATGCAATGCTACATTTCTACAAATCTGATGAAGAAACAAACTCATCTACATATTGGATGGCCTGAGAGCGAGTACATTTTCAGCAAATTTTCTTTTTTGGGTGAACTATTCCTTTAAGGAGTGTGTGATTCTGGAAAATTTTACACTGATTTCAACAAGAACAAAGTCAAAACATGTTGTTAGCTGTCATTTCTCATTATAGAGTTTTTCCATGTACATATGATAAAGACAGAACTAAACTCAGACAATTCAGGGTGGATCTTTCCTCATTAGATCAGTGTTTTTACCGCAGTAACATGCTCACACATTCACACCGAACACTCACTTCAGTCTCACAGTCTCTCACTTTCTTGTATCGTCGCTCACACCTCTTTTCTCTCTTTGTCGGTCTTATTCTGGCTTAGAAACAAATGTCTTAAGCCAAACTTTTATAAGTTCATCTAAGGTAAAAAAGCATTTCAGTTAAGAAGCTGTAAAACTTTAAGAAGAAGCCACCTAGTAACCACACAGAACACCCTAGCAACCGCTTAACAACACCCTGGCAACCATCCACAGCTCCTTAGCATTGTGCCAGTGAGTTTTGCACAAAACCCAGTCAAATATAAATGCTTAATATGAAATTTCATCACATTCAGGTCCAGTGCAGGTGTCTCTGTTTCCCAGCATGGAAATGATGGAAATGTACAAATTTACAGATTTACACAGAGAGAAAACATTGCATATTTATGCTGACAGCTAGCAGAAGATTATTGCTGTTTTGGCCAGTGTGGAGAAAAAAAGCCATGAGGCAGTCGTAAAGCAGGATGGCTTTAGTCCCAATAAATGTTGTAAAATATTTCTCACACCATCTGCTATCGTTCCACCATCCGCTAGCATCCGCTTTTTAGCATGTGCACAAAAGCTACAGTAAATAAACCTGATATAAAAAATGGATAGTTCTTGTTCTAGACCAACTATTAATTTTACATGATTTTTGTGTGTGTGTGTAATATTTTATATTATGCTCTGGGTTGGTAAGATTTTTTACGCTTCTGCCCATTAAGGCTGAGTTTCTTTGTTTAAAAAAAATACAGTAAATAGTGTAATATTGTAAAATATTAAAATTTCAAATAAGTGTTTTCTATGTAAATATATTATAAAATGTAATTTATTTCTGTGATGCGCAGCTGTATTTTCAGCATCATTACTCCAGTCTTCAGTGTCACATGATCTTCAGAAATCATTCTCATATGCTGATTTGCTGCTCAAGAAACAAAAAAAATTAAAAATAAAATTGTACTCACCCCAAATGTGATTAAACAAAAATTCACAGTTTAATGTGAAATTCTTATTCAGATGTTTCATACAGGAGGTTAATGTGCCGTAATGCAACCAGCAGTGAAACTCACCAGCAGTGAATAGCAGATTTTGAATCCTGGTTTTGCTACGAAGTAATCGTCCGATTTGAAGGTGATTTTGATGAGGTTTGTTTTGGATGTGATCTGTGACGGAGCTCTCTGACCGCACCAGCGGCCCCAGATGATGGTGCTGGTTTCAGAAATATCCTCAACTTCAATATAATCATACCTGCAACACACACACACACACACACACACACACACACACACACACACATCTATCAGTGCATCACCTGCACAGGTAAAGCACGTACACCTGATCTGCAGATGCTTTGATTCTGTTCTTCAAATATCAAAATTCATATGATTATAATATCTGAAGTGATATCACAATTGCATATTTTAGTGTTATTTTAGTATTATGTATAAGCTATTATAGTACTTATTTATATTTTTAATTAGCTGTCATTTTTATATTTTAAGTTCAGTTTCAATTTTAGTTTTAGTAATTTTGTTGTGTGCTTTTGTAAGTTTTATTAGTTTTTTATTTGTTCTATTTAGCTTTCATTTGTTTATATTTCAGTTTTAGTAATTTTATTACATCAACTTGAACTTAGTTTGTTGCCAATGCAACATTTCTAATTTATTCTAATTAAAGTTCTTCATCTAATATTTATATTTTGTTTTATTTCAGCTTTATAACAAAAAGACTCATAGTTTTAGTTTATAATAACAGCCCTGGTACAGGGTACATCCATAAACAGCAAATGCAGTAATTGGTAATGTGATGTGACATCATGCTTTTATCTATATCATATAAATTATTCAATATTGCACAGAAATGTATATAATGCATTAAAGGTCCCATGACATGCTGCTTTTTGGATGCTTTTATATAGGCCTAAGTGGTCCCTAGTACTGTATCTGAAGTCTCTTTCCCGAAATTCAGCCTTGGTGCAGAATTTCAGCCACTACGAGCCAGTCCCACAATGAGCTTTCCTTAGGACGTGCCATTTCTGTGTCTGTAGCTTTAAATGCTAATGAGGAGGAGAGAGGGGGGGCAACTGCCATGCTTCGCTCGTTTGCAAGCCATGATGTCTCTTGAGGAAAAAAAAATATTGCTCTCGCCTCGCGCGGTAGTAGCTCATATTCTCATGGGCGGGCCAAATTCTCTGGGCGGGCAAAGCAGAGAAAGGGGAGGTAACCTTTCCCTGTATGACGACATAAAGGGAAGATTCCAGATTGGGCCATCTGAGCTTTCATTTTCTCAAAGGCAAAGCAGGATACCCAGGGCTCGGTTTACACCTATCGCCATTTCTAGCCACTGGGGGACCATAGGCAGGCTAGGGGAACTCATATTAATGTTAAAAAACCTCAAAAAGTGAAATTTTCATGCCATGGGACCTTTAAGTTTCTTTCCTGTCCTCGTTTCACTTCATGCCTCTTTCTCATCTTCTAACTTCACCTCATCGCTCATCTGTTTTTTCCTGCTTTATTTTTAGACCCGATGTTTCGAGGGTCTTTATAAAGTATCAGATTCACAGTAAAACCTCTAACCTCAAGGACAAACCCGTAACCCGAGAGTCACTCCACACATGCAGAGAGTCAGATCCTCGCTCTGATTGGCTTTCTGCTCATTAAATATTCATATCATGTTTTAACTCTTCAGGCCTTTATTTCTAGCCCAGAAGTGCAGAATGAGAACCACAGGAATCTGAGAACCAAACCTGTTATTCTCTACCACGTGTTACAACATGATTTAACCATGTAGGACATGCGGCTGGAGCTCCTGGATCAACATACCTATGAATTAATCAGATTTATAGCATTGTTAAGGGCTTTAGGTTTAGATGCTTGTTAAACTGTTCAATATTTACTATATAGACCAACCCAAAGAGTCAAAATGACACTTTCTCAACAGTTTAAACAGATCTAATTCATTATTCATGAACTCATCCATTCCAAAGCTCCGCCCTCACCTTCAGACTCCATTCTTCACCTACACTTAAGTCTTAAATAGACCTAATTCTTTATTCATGTATTCATTCATTGTGAAGCTCCACTTTCACCTGAAAACTCCATTCTCCGCCTCTACTTAAAACTCTTAAATTGGTGTAATTCATTATTCATAAACTCAAGCATCCGAAGCTCCGCCCTCAGCTGCAGACTACCATTTTTCTCGGCCTCCACTTAAAAGTCTTAAATAGATCTGATTCATTATTCATGAACTCATCCATTCTGAAGCTCCGCCCTCACCTGCAGACTCCATTCTCTGCCTCCTCCAGTCCAAACTGAGCATCGAATTCCAGCAGGATGCGTGTGTGGGGCGGTGAGAGCAGTTTCCATGACAACAGCAGGTTGCGGGGGTAAGAGCTGGGGAAGCGCGGGCTCTGGACATGACCTCCGCCTTTGACCATTATGACCTCTTCCTTCCGGTACAAGTCTGTGAGGCGATTGCTGTCTGTTACTGGTCACAACTCGGACAGGTTAGTGTGTTACTCTCGGAGACAAACAAACACACACAGATATACACAAATACAACACATAAAGGTTAGAATCTGTTTCATTTCAGTTCGGTTCAGTTCAAAAATCTAATTCTCTTCAGGAAAATAGACCAATTAACTTATAATTCTCTTGAAGTAGCAAACTAAAATCGTTTAGATCCATAGCAAACGAATTTGCTTCAAAATTGTCTTCACAAAAATAAACGAATTCACTTCTAATTCTGTTTAGGAAGTGAAGTTACTTCTGATGCTCATTGTGAAGTTATTTTTATTTTTTATTCTCCTCAGGAAACTAACCCAATTCACTTCTCTCTCTTTTTCTCAGAAAAAGAACTCAAGTCACTTTAGATTCTATTTACATCCAAAACAAACTAAATTCACTTCTGATTCTCTTTACAAAATAAAAAGAGACTTCTAAGTGATGTTTATTTATGATGCTCTTTGGGAAATGATCTGAATTGACTTCAGAAAAAGAACAGAATTCACTTCGGATTCTTTTCCCCAAAATAAACATTTTAGATTCTCTTCAGATCCAAAAGCAAACTAAATTTAGCCTACTTCTGTTTCAAATGATTCAGGAAGTGATGTTTATTTACTTCTGATGCTATTTCGGAAATTATCTAAATTCACTTCTATTTCTCTTCAGGAAAAGAGCTAAAGTCACTTTTGATTCTCTTCAGAAGAAATAACTTCATATGCTTCTAAATCTTATTATAATAAGAACTTGTAATTCTGTTCACGAAGTGGCGCAAATTTACATCTGACGCTCTCTGTGAAGTGAAGTGATCCGAATTCACTTCTGATTCTCTCCCAAAAAACAACCTAAATCATTTTTAATTCTCTTCAGGAAAATAACTAAAGTCACTTTGATTCTGTTCAGAAAAAAGAACTGAACTTTCTTCTCTTCAGAAAAAGAGCTTAATTCCTTTCGAATTCTGAAGTGAATTTGTGAAGTGATCTGAACTGACTCGATGAGATGATTCACTTTTGATTCTCTTCAGAAAAGTGAACTGAATTAACATCTGATTATAAGGAAATAACCTGAAATCGCTTTCGACAACAATCAATTCACTTTTAGAATTTGAGCTTAATACCTGAACCGAGTTCACTGAAATGGACCACAGAATCTCTGACAGAACACAAACACACACAAACATGAGTAACACAAGAGAAGTAAATGGCGACAGGTCTATAGAAAAAGACAGGCATGCTTTTAGCCCACAAAAGTAAAATATTAAAAATAGCAGATGTTATGCAACAGGAAAACAAAGATCATTTATAGTGACAGTTCGTGAATCTTTAAATCAGGCCAATGAGCACATCAGATCGCTGTAAAGAAAACTAAGAATTCATGATACACTAATCGAAAGTGACGACATTGATGATGACCTGATCCGATGTCAAAATGATGCATCCATGCTGATGTTTTCATTTCCAAAAGCTCCTTGACTCAGCACCACCACAGCGTTCACACACACACACACACACACACACACACACACATACACACATACACGCATACACGCATACACGCATACACGCATACACACACACACACACACACACACACACACTGATTACTGATCCATGCATGCAGCAAACACTTGTGATTATGGCTATACAGCAGGAACAGGGCCACCATCCATCACCATGACAACCTGCTGACCAATGAGCTTTTAAATGAACTTAAACAGAAATAAGGCCGCTCTAGCTCACACACTCACACACACATATACACACACTACTTGCTTATATCACTTCTATAAGCGTGATACTGACAGTCTAGCAGCTTTGAGTTTAACAGCTCATTTACACAATCTCACACACACACCGTACTTCTTTAACACCAATTTGCTTCAACTTTCTGAGAGCAAATACACACTTACTGTACATACAAACTCATCACACACAGTTCTAAAAGCTCTTAAAGTTTGTCGTGTTAAAGTATGAGCTGTCGTCTGTTATTGTGAAGCGCTAAAAACATCAGATTAAATGCTCATGACAGGCATCAGGACAGAAGAATGTAGGTTATGTTTCAAAAAGTACTGAGTTGCCTCACTGTCTACTGCCTACAGTACACACTACTAAGGCAAAACCCCAATAGAAATAGAACATCATGAGTGACTGATTTAGAATGATTAACAATAATCTAGTAAGTATAAAAATACACAGCACACATTAAATAGGTAATATGCTAAATTTTGAACGCGATTTAGCCTAATTAATTTTATCATTAAAATCTGGATTAAGTGAACTACAACTACATTTAACTGGGTAATATGGTCATGTTTTTATTTGATTTAATGTGTTTTATCATCACGTTCTGTTTTGAAGCATATTACAAGTATATTTAATTAGGTAATATGGTCAGTTTTTAATTTGACTTAATTTGTTTTATTAAGTTCTGGTATTAAGTGAACTACAAGTATATTTAATTAGGTAATATGGTCAATTTGTAACTTGATTTAATTTGTTATATCAATAAATTCTGGAATTAGGTGAACTAAAAGTATGTTTAATTAGGTAATATAATACATTTTCAATTCAATTTAAGTTGTTTATCATTAAGTCAATTACAAGTATATTTAAATGGGTAATATGGTTCATTTTTTATTCAATTTAATTCATTTTATCATTAAGTTTCACTATTAAGTGAATTGCAAGTATATTTAATTAGGTATATGGTCAAATTTTAAATACATTTATTTTGTTTTATCATTTAGCTCTTGTATTAAGTGAATTACAACTATATATTTTAAACTCTCTAGCTTTTGTCTGCTCAATGGTATTACTGTTAACTAAAAACTATCCAAAAATTATAAATTGGAAATAAATAAAAACTAAGACTGAACTAAAAATAAAACTGAAATATATTATGTTATGTAGCTTTTTTATTAGTTTTTATACTAATTAGTATTAATTAGTATAAAACTAATAAAAAAGCTAATTCAAAATATTAATAAAACTATATAATAATAATAATAATATACAAATATTACTAAAATAACACTCTCTGCCATCCTGTATGGACTGCTTTTACTGAGCTTGTTGCAATGCATTATGGGGTTGCCAATTGTGTGCCTTGGAATTGGTCAAAATAATTTTGTCTGTGATGAATGAGTCTTTCATTGCAGTCAGAATTTATAATAAATTGATCTCATTTTACAACATCAAAACGTGTGTGTGTGTACAGACATATTTCTCCATCTCTGATGATTGGAGAAAAAAATAAAACAAATCTAGACTTGCATTCATGTGCGAGATAATGCCTGACTCTGTGTGTCTGTGTGTGTGTGTGTGTGTGTGTGTGTCCCACAATGAAGGTTATTCAGGTCAAGAACTGCCCACTTAGACGGGAAGAGACCATTTAACGGATATATAAAGCGATCAGTCACAGTTCATTGTGTTTTAATGTGCCTTTTAGGGTCAAGTTTATCAGAAATAGTTGATACCACAGTAACATACTTACAAAAAATAACACATTCAAACAATACTATGATAGAGACCATCAGTGGTTGTAGGAAAAACAAGAGAAACTCTTCCACAAGTATCAAATATAATCTCATGACGGTGGAAAACATTTCACCATTCAACAGACGTTTCAACAAGAACTAAACAGTAATAACCTATGCATCTGTCCAGTTCATAAAAACATTAGCTAATTTCTCTCATGTTCTGTCTCTGTTTCTTTCTCTCAATATTTCAACAACAGCACATTTCAATTTTCAGAGCTAGATGCCAAGAGTGAACAACAATTTTATTCTTCCATCTTTCCCAGGTCACATTTCAATCAATCAATAAATGCCTAACTAACTAAATCTAAAATAAAAAAAAATAATATAAAATAATACAAAATATATAACAAAAAAAAAAGTATATATATAAAATATAATAAAAACAATAAAAAAAAAAAAAAATAAATAAAAATATGAAATAAAAGAAAAATACACTAAATAAAAAAAGAAGGAAACTATATTTTTCCATAAGCAAAATGGCCATTAAAATTATGCAAAATATATTTTCTCTTTCTTTTGATTTTTCTTTCTTTTTATTTTGGGGTGAAATATGACATTTCTCTACAGATAAATCCATCTGAAGACATGAAGAATTTCCTAGGACAGGAGTTCAGAAAGCATGTGTTTCTATTGACAGATAGAGGTCAGAGGTCAAACACGGGCATAAAGCTTTATGACTCATCAGTGTGTGTGTGTGTGTGTGTGTGTGTGTGAGAGTGAGTGTGAGAGAGTGTGTGTATGTGTGTGTGAGTGTGTGTGTTACCCTGCTGTCAGACAGTTTCAGCTGAACTTACAGAAGCATCAAGACACGACACACTCAGACTCCCACCCTGAGGATGTGTGTGTGTGTGTGTGTGTGTGTGTGTGTCCATCTATTTGTAGTTTCTCTCACCTCGCGTGCTGCTCTGTGCTTGAGTGAGAGATCATGCTGAAACTGTTACACAGTTGGAACCCAAAGCAGAATCTATTCCTGGACGTCTAGAGCCACACGTTATATCAGCACACTCATCTCAGTTTATTAGTGCACTAATATTCTATTGGAACCTTTGTTCTTGTATCCATAGCAACCAGATGTTCCATCAGAATTTATTGTGAAGAATTAACAGACTCCTGTATCTGCTCCCATGTCTCCATTACCAGTCAATTCTGTTTAAATATATATTTTTAATGATTATTTTGATGTATTTTAATATTTAATAACATAATACTTGCCTTACATAATACATAATCTTGTCTTAAAGGAACACTCCACTTTTTTTGAAAATAGGCTCATTTTCCGACTCCCCTAGAGTTAAACAGTGAACGCTCCCTGTGCAAGCAGGTGGTCATGTTGGTTATGTTGACGGAAGTTAGCCTATTTTCAGGCGCTGCGTAATATCATTGCGCCGGTCTATATCAGATGCTAACGGTCTAATCAGATTCAATGATCTATGCTAAGCTACAGCTAA